TATCAATCTCAATCGTTTTCATCTTAAGTTTATTGCTACTATCGGGCTAATATACGACGATTGTTCTATATTAACTCGGTAGTAATATTTATTAATGAACGCGTCTCGTTATTAATAACTACCCTCGATGAAATGGATATACTCCTCGATTGAGTATTCGAGAGGAAGATAGTTAAAGATATAATCAGGATCGACGAACATTTCATTAAGTGGATAAAAGCAAAACCAAGTCCTCATCTCTATAAATTAAACTCATATAAGTCGTTTATCTTAGTGTTAATTAAATTCAATCAAATCAAACTTAAAACTCCCCTTGTTACTATTTATATAAAAGAAAAGTATTCATTTCTCTGTGGATACGAACCTTATTTCACTATACTACGTATTAGTGTTGTATTGATTAATTATTTTGAGTGCACCTCACGATAAGTGCACGTCAATTATTTTACGGGGTTGGGTAGTACTTACTTAGCTCTAAAGCTAATTTTTGTTTCCTTTTCCTTGTTTTGTTTTCTGCACTTTATATGTGCAAGTGATGATGAATATGAAGCTCCTGATGTTTGACGAGCCTTGAGAGCGCTTTAGGAGATTCTAGTGTAGTCTTCACTTAGTCTAAATAATGTTATTAAATTTTGAATTTAAGTTTTTAATTATTTTGAACTCATGGTGGATAGCCTTAACATCCAGCCAAATTGAGGGCTGGGTGTGGCGGTAACACACCCGTTTCCCATTATTATTATTATTTCCGCTGCAAAACTCTATCTATTTTGAATGAATAAGTCAAGTTTGTTATCAATATGTTATTATTATTTTGGGCGGGAAAATTGGGGTGTTACAGGATATCTCTAGCTCATCATCATTTTGTAAGAGCAAATGCGCTAAAGTTTCTGATGAGTCTAAGGTAAGCACATCCGGCAATCAACATATGATCAAGGTTCTGGAGCGGATATTAGCAAATGATCACAAAGTCCTATTGAAGCAGATGGATAAATCTACCTAATTGAGCATACAATTGGACAATTCCAAAGAAGAGGTCAAGAAAATGACACTTGAAACAGAAGAGCTAACACTCAAGATAGCTGATCTCACTTTTAGATTGCAAGAAACTGAGGCAGAACGAAACACAGAAAAGGCTAATAAAGATTTTCTCAATAATCAAAGAAGTGCCCTCTATCGTAAAATCAAAGAATTTGAGGATTTGATTGCTAAGAGAGGACAATTCGAGCAAACCATTTTTCTTAACCAACAAAAGGACACTCGTTTCTATAATTCCAAAGCTGGACTCGGTCTAAAGAATCCATGTAATCTGAAAAAAGTAGATTATATTCAACTTTATGACCTCAATACATGAATCTTGGATTGATGGAGAAAATGTTCTTTTTTAGTGAAGATGAGACAGTTGCGGAAGAAGACAGAAAAGAGCTAATCTTGCAGCTGAAACTTCTTGTGATTATGATGCATTAAACAAGAGTTATGGATCAAAAGAGCATCCGGTGACTCCTGCTGAAGAGATTCCTACCTTTTATCTTGTGCAAGATACAGAGGGGCCTTCAACTTCAGAGCCTGCAGTCAAAACAGCAAACATATCACCTCTCATGAGAAAGTTTGTTGAGTTAAAAGAGACTTTTGATAAAGAAAAACACGCTTTTGAACTGGAAAGAGAACAACTCTTGAAAGAAATGTCTTTGCTCCGAACATCATCTCAATCAAGCATAGGCTCACAATCTCCTTCACCTCCATCATTTGAAAACAGTGCTGAAAATTCAACAGATGATCCTGAAACTTCTACTTCTCACTCTGAGCCTCCTTCTCGGACAAGGTACCCTGTGAAGAGGAGAGTGGAAAAGAGGGGAGAATGGATAGAGGAGAAGTTAAGAAGAAGAAAGAAGGAAGACGAATCTCGTCTGAGAGATGGGAACTGGTGTTCGAGTGCTCTCTTCTATGCCAAAAAGAAGACATCTCTTAAGAATAACTGCTCAAACTCTTCTACTTTGAACTGTGTTAAGCCAGTAAAAACTTGTTGCTCTGAATTTGATGTATCCTTCAATCAAGATAAGAAGAGGAATGTTAAGAAATGTCTGAAGAAATCAGCTTCCGCTAAGGTAAATATTGAGGAGGAGTATCGATTACCATATTTGAAGTATCCCCTCAAAGTTTACTCACTCATACATTTGAGAAGACTCTCTCAAGAAACAATTTTAAAAAATTATCTGTCTGAACATTCACTCATTGCTTGTGAAACTTTTTCTGCTCCAAAGTTCAAGCAACAATGGGTTCCTAAGGCTGAAGTTGAGAAATTCAGAATGTCAAATTCTTCTCAACCAGCTAGCCTAGGATCACAAATCAAACAGAAATTGAAACAGGTTTTCTGTGGTGACAAGGAAGGACCCATCTGGAGGTGGGTACCGAAACATACTTAAGCTGCCTTGCAGGTCCGTCATGTGTGGTAACTGATCCGATTGCTCCACACACATGGCGGTATGAAGATGAGATGTGAGCAATCAGCAGGTGCACATTATTAAGGGGCGTATTGGAATGTATACTATCCCACTGAGCAGAGAATCAAGAAATGCACACTTCAACATCAACACGTGTCAAGGACAAACAACATGTGCTTATTCTGAGGGGGGTGTCTCTTTTTCACTCCTCCTGGTGCCAAACAAAGAAGAAAGCACATTCCAAGGGGGAGTTTTCTACTTTACTCCCCAAGTAACAAACAACACAACTTGCAACTCTTGAGGGGGGGTTTTATTTTTCTTCTCCTGGTACCAGACAATGTAAAATGCAAGGATTCTCTCAAGGATGCAAATTTTGAGTGGAAGTTTTCAAATTCATACTCCCAAGCGCCAATCATCGTGAAAGACATCCTACTGTATGCTCCAGTTGAGGGGGAGCACGGAGAGAAAAGATCAAAGAGAAATGAGAAATAAGTCTCAATGGCTTAGTAAACCCAACTAAGCCTACCCAAGGGACAAAGTCGAGAGTGAGTAACTGCGTGAACACTATGAGAGTGAGGAAGCAGAAAGCTCATGTGAGCAGGAGACAAATTATCAATGACAAATCTACTACCTCTATTGTGCTATCAATTGAGAAAATTACTCCCAGACACTCAAATACTCTGAAAAATCCCCATAGGTTCAGGACTGAATTTATTCAGATCCCGGGTAGAAGTCGCTGCACTTTGTCTAAATGGCGCATGCACAACCATACCCAAGACCACTCATTTGTCTCCCAACAGACATGTGTGTTTAATCATATTTGACGGGGGACCTCATCTCTTATCACCATCTCCTTCTGAGGAAACTCATATTGATTACAGTGGCCCACAACCCCATGCCACTGAACATTCATTGATCACGTCGTGTCTAGTTATCTCACTCCCAAATGTTTTGAAATTTTCTAGGACACAGACACTTTTTAGAGTCAGTTGCAGGTCTTCATGACCCGCGAGAACTTCCACAGGACTCATCTACTAGATGAAGACCAATGATTAGAAGGAAGTCCTGTTGTTGCAACATCAAAATCACCAACATTTTCATACCATCGCTTTAGAGTTTATCTCTATAGTGATGATAATGAGTGTCTACATGACCTCGGGTCGGGGGCTACAAGTTTCTCAATGCTGATCTCTATGATCATGCAAATAACAACTGGTGTTTACATTGATGTTGTGATAACGGAACGCCTCAGTGCATCCGGTTTTTATCATTTTATCTTTCTTTTTGTTTTCTGTTATGTTTCCTAGAATAACAGAATAAATAAAGGCATGACGCCCGATTCATTGGATCGTCGTGAGAGGGAGAGTGGTCCGCATGTTGTTTACTCTCAAAAATCATTTTCTGTCACTGCTCTCCTCCAACACTTTCCCTACTATCTCTACAACTCAAATGATCAGCTACGCTCACAAGACAACCATAATTTAGCACGGTGCCACCGACAAGGTCTCCTCAAATGCTTTCACTTCAAATAGTCAAAAAGACTACATTGTGGAGGAGACAAAGGTCAGACAAACGCCTGGAAATCATCGGAATATTCATTCTAGATGTGCCTTTGGACTTCATTCAAGCTGATCAAGAGCTACTTCTGGAAGGCAAAGATTTAAGCAAGACTTTCAAGATTTTTCAACCGCCAAAATCAAAGATCAAATTGCCAAGAAGACATCAAAGGGGAGATTGCAATGATTTCTTCAGAAAGCCTTCTTAAGAAGTCGAGTTCAACAAAAAGATAAAGATATTTGCACTACAATGCTGATTGAACACGGTTGAACACCAAGTGGGAGATTGTTGGGAATATTTTATGGTGTCCAATCTAATTAAATATCTTTGTATTTGTGTAGTTATTAATTAAATATGTAATATGAGCCACAAATGTATTTCAACCCATTAGGTCACTTGTAAGCCTTAAGTTAGACATCCTTATATATAAAAGGATGTTAACTTAAGAAAACCCTAAGCCTTTATCGAAACATTAACGCACATATTATTCTAGCGAGAGAGAGCCGCATCTTTGTATTTTTAATACCCTATTCTGTATTTCTAAATCTTTGTTGGTATTAAATCAAAGTTTTGTATGATTGTTGAATGATATAGAGACTAACAAATATCATCTGGAACCGTCTCAAATAACGACGGTCACATAGAGGCTCATATAAAAGGAATGATTTGTAATTTTTCGATTATTTGGAGGGGGTTCTTTGTCCCTTTTTCCTTGATTTGACAAACTTTTTCCCGAAGGAAGCGGCACAATAAGAAAAAAGTGTATTCCAAAAGTTCCAACCGAAAAACCGTATAGGACCGAATACAATCTTAGGTATGTGTCAAAGCTTGACAGGACCAGTGTGACTTCCAGAGATTTCTTAATTGCTACTTCTCCATAGTTGCTTTTCCATATTGAAACACGTGTGTAATCTGATTTTCTTATAAGTGGACTTTTTTGTCCCCACTCCAGTCTCTCTCCCTATATCTACCCTCCTTTCCATGTTTTTTCTCCCATTCTGAAGTACCAAACCAAACTGGAGATTAACAAACAGCCATGATCAGTCCTACTATTACTAATACTAAACCTTATTTGATTAAGCCCAAATTATGCAGTCTTCAGTCTGCTAAGAAGGTAAAGACTTATTCTTCTTCTCTGGATCGTCAATGGAATTTTTTGCAGAGAGCAGCAGCGGTGGCTTTGGATGCAGTGGAGAGAAGGATAACAGAGCATGAACTCAGACACCCTTTTCCCAAAACATTCGACCCACGAGTTCAAATCTCCGGGAATTTCGCTCCGGTGCCGGAAAACGCTGTCTGCCACGAACTCCCGGTCGCCGGGAACATCCCGGAGTGCATGAACGGCGTTTACGTGCGTAACGGTGCAAACCCGCACTTCGAGCCGGTCGCAGGGCACCACTTATTCGACGGTGATGGGATGATCCACGCCGTGAAGTTTGAGAAAGGCGCGGCCAGTTACGCGTGTCGATTCACGGAGACATGGCGGCTGGTTCAAGAACGTGCCCTGGGACGCCCTTTCTTCCCCAAAGCAATCGGCGAGCTCCATGGGCACTCTGGGATAGCAAGAATCCTCCTTTTCTTGGCCCGTGGAGCTTTCGGGCTCTTCGATAGCAGCTCCGGCACCGGAGTTGCCAACACCAGTCTGGTTTACTTCAACAACCGCCTCCTAGCCATGTCGGAGGACGATCTGCCGTACCACGTCCACGTAACACCCTCCGGCGACCTGGAAACCGTGGAAAGATACAATTTTGACGGGCAATTGAAGTCCAAAATGATCGCCCACCCGAAAATCGACCCTGTTTCGGGCGAGCTCTTCGCCCTCAGCTACGACGTGATCCACAAGCCTTACCTCAAGTACTTCATGTTTTCCAAGAACGGGAAGAAATCAGAAGACATTGACATCCCAGTCAAAGACCCCACAATGATTCACGACTTCGCCATCACGGAGAATTTCGTCATCATCCCAGACCAGCAATTGGTGTTCAAGATCTCCGAGATGATCCGCGATGGCTCTCCGGTGGTCTACGACAAGAACAAAATTCCCAGGTTCGGGGTACTCAACAAGCACGCTAAAGATTCAGCTGAGATACAATGGATAGAAGTGGAGAATTGCTTCTGCTTCCATCTCTGGAACGCCTGGGAAGAAACAGAGGACGAGATTGTGGTAATCGGATCATGTATGACTCCGCCGGACTCAATTTTCAAGGAATCCGACGAAGGGTTGAAGAGCATTCTATCAGAAATCAGACTAAACCTGAGGACTGGGAAGTCAACAAGAAAGTCAATAATTTCAGAAGAGGTGAATCTGGAAACAGGAATGGTGAACAGAAACAAGCTGGGGAGGAAAACGAGGTACGCATATTTAGCAATTGCAGAGCCATGGCCTAAAGTCTCTGGTCTTGCAAAAGTTGACCTTTTTACCGGAGAATTCAAGAAATTCTTTTACGGAGATGAGAAATACGGCGGCGAGCCGTTTTTCTTTCCTGGAGTTTCGAGTACGGAAGAAGAGGATAGGTATATCTTAGCTTTTGTGCATGATGAGAAAAAATGGATATCAGAGCTTCAAATAGTCAATGCACATAGTCTTAAGCTGGAAGCAACTGTGAAATTGCCCTCAAGAGTTCCCTATGGTTTTCATGGCACATTTATCACTTCCAGTGATTTATTGTCTCAGAAGTACTGATTTGATGTGGCATTGGAGAGTCATCAAAGTGATGGTTGATTGTATATATCCTATGTTTTGGAAGTTACATACGTAGTATAATCTTTATTACTACGTATTACTAGTAGTATTTTTGAGGCATTGTATATTAGATGTAAATAGAATTGCAGATCAGTTGGGTTTTTTTCTTCAGGGGGCATTGTATATTAGATGTAAATAGAATTGCAGATCAGTTGGGTTTTTTTCTTCAGATCTTACGTACGAGTAGTATTTTATTTGTAATTTGTTGGTCTGAACGGGCAAACTTACTTTCTAAATGTGCATGGGGGCATGGGAGTGAGTGGATCAGGTGAGAAATATGGCTATAATTGTTTTCATATCTACGACCAAACATGGAATGTCATACGGATGTAGTAATTGCAGTTAAATGTCATACATGCCGTATGTCTTTTGACATACGTTGGGAAACTATCCCTCTTTTACTTATATATGTGTCTTAATTTTCTCTAATATGTGTCTTACTTCTGTAGACACTTCTGTGTGCGTAAGACAGACGAATATACGAAATGTGTACACAAAAATATACACCAAACATTTCTCTTTTTCTTTATAAGAGCTAGTCTTTACTCTTTACTTGTTCATATTTATCCAACTTTCTTAGAGCCTACAAAATATAGTTACATGTCATTTCGTGGTTCACTTAACCTTTTCACCGACGCCAATGCAATTATTATGGGTTCATTTGGCAAATGTCTAATCAAACATTTTGTTTACTTTTTTGACTAAACATCTCCAATTCTACAATGTATACCGTACCATGCACATGTAGCATGAGAAATAATCACATAAATACTTCGAAATAAATTATCTCTTTCCTTAGCTTATTGCATTCAAATGAGGAGAGATAATTTATTTGCTAACATTTATGTCTCTCTCATGCATGTGTCACATTTGCAACATGCACATAGACTAAGGTGAATATTGTTTGGTAATTGACCCGTTGACTTAGATTTTCTTTGTTAAGGAGAAAAACAAATTTATTAAAGAAATCAAAAGTGAAGTACATTTATTTAGAAAATAAAAGCAAAATAAAAGACAACAAAATAAAACCAACCTACACGAATTGCAAAAATAAAACCCTCCCGAGTCCCGAGACATTCCAAAACCTCAATCGAGATGGATTAATTTGATCCAAAAGGTTGAATGCCCAACCTCAAGTCCCCCCCCCCCCCCCCCCCCCCCCCGACCCGACAGGATGGTGGGGAGATTAATCACGGTGACTCAGTCAGCAAAGCGGTGATAGGCCTTATACACGTGCGCACCAGAGGTCCAGCCTTATTCCAGGTTCTGTAACCTCCACACGGTCACTGCGGGTTTTGAACCTTGGTCACTTGGTCCAATTTTCCCACCACTCGACCAACTGAGCTACCCGTGCAGGTATCGAGATGGATTAATTATATACATGCATGGTTGAGATTTGTTTTTTATGAGATGCCACCTCTGATGTATTTTCCTGTATATTTGGATTCGGGTGTTTACCCTCGTTGTAGATAAGTGGTTATCCCTCATGACCAGTCCAACTTTGTTACAAACAAGCTTTGTTACAAATATAGATCAGATCAGACAAGTTCATACTAGATCAGAAAGATTCTAATCAAATAAAAAATATTCACATGAGATGGGAAATAATCATATTAGATGCTGAAGATTCAGATTACTTAAATCTTCAGCATCCTCATCATGATTATTATTATCATAATTGTTGTTGTCATGGTAATTAATATTTATATGTTTCTATTATAAAGAGCAACAAAACTTAACGTTTGAAAAGATTATAAATTTCATATCTTTTCTTTCCAACGTGAGAGAATCGTTCCTCCAGTTCTTCAACACTTCAAAAGCCTCATCTACACATCCTTTGTGACGAAGCAGCATTGGAGAAAACTGTCTTTCACGCAAACACTTCTTGCAAAAGAAGGGACGTCTCAAACTAGCTGAAGTAGTGAAGTGTGAATACTTCAAGAGGCTCAGTGAAACGAGACCAGCCATTAGGAAGCAAGGACTGCATCCCGTGTGGAAACAAGTCTTGAAGAAGACGAGGAGAGCTTCTTAAGTACTAGGGACTAAGGCGTTGTAACTGGTGTTTTACAAGCTTAGTGGAACAGTGGATTAGAGGAACACATTGTTCCTTGAACCACTATAAAAACCCCGATGTCATTTACTTTACGCATTTACTTTCTGCAATTAAGATTCTGACTGATGAACTCAAAGACTTAGACTCTGTGTTCAGCGGATCTTGTCCTGAGAGTTAACATAAAGGCATTTGTCTTAGTGTTTTCCTGAGGTTACCCGGACAGAACTCTTATCCGCTGCCAGGTCCAGTTTTGCCATCAAAACTTGACCTTCTCTGTCACCAGAACCAGACCTTCTCTGTTGAGTCATTTGTGACTTCGAGAAAAAGTTTGAAAAACCTGAACAGTCTATTCAACCCCCTCTAGATTGTCCCTAATATAAACGGGATCAACAATAGGTGATTCCGTTATTGCCGGAATGGAATCCAATTCCAATCGTGTAACGACGGGAGCGATATCGTTTCTCCGGTTGCCTCTAGAACTGGAGGTGATTGATACTGCTGATTGGACTTGGGATCGAAGGAAATCGTTCTCCCGTTATAGATGGGTCATTCGTTCCGCCATTTCTAGTCAGATTTCCTCCTTGACCGACTCTAACTGCGCATGAAACTCTGCCAACAAAGGATTACCGCCAGCCATGCTCAAGTCTAATTGTATGAAACCGCTTCATCATAACTTCATCGTCATTTAAATGTCTTATAACAATTTACATATGCTCTTTGATAGAATTATTACATATCTAATGGTCATAGTTTAACATCAAGAAGTGGAGGCACCGACTATATCATGAATACTAATACTAAATTTCAGGGTCGGAAGCGGGGACACTTCCCCCACTGCATATGACGTTTCAAAGTCTGACGTGGCTTCACAAAAACCAGAAATTTGATCCATCAATCTTCTTCTTATGATGCTAGAATTAAGTGATCCATCGATTAATAAGCTTAAACGTAACGTACTTGAATACTAATTAGTTAAAATATGATTCTTTATTGAGGACAGTGCACTAAATGAAGCAGAACCACACAACAAGTATAACATAGTACGTCCACTTCTACCCACCATCGTCATTAGATCAAATTAAAAGCGTATGAGTTTTAGTTTGCTCAATTGTCAGTTAATATGCTAAAACTCTGAAGTCCAAACTAATGAATTCACATAAATATATTCTCTTACTCCAAATGGAAAACATTATTTAGTTTAGTTTCTCCATACACTATTTAGCTTATAGTTACTGATTTTTACTCCATTAGTCATATATAATGTTCTTCCGATCTCACTTAGCACTTCAGGATCTTCCACATTTGTCTTCTCATTACGTTATTAAGAAATCGTTTGTGTGATTAACACTTTTTTCATGTTTTCGTATTTCAATATCAATCACACATTTCCGCTTTGTTAATAACAGTGTCAATTAGATATAGGAAGAATATTGTGGTTAGAGCCTAGAGGTAGTACTATTTTATAAAGGGAAATTGTTCTAAATAAGACTAAAAACATTTGTGTATTTCAAAATAGGAGTAATTATTTCCTAAACATGTCAATATTTTCCAAGTATGACAATAATTACTCCTATTTAGAGAATAAAAATATGATAATTCTATTTTGAAATTTTGAAACTATTTTAGTCATGTTTCTGAAACTTTTCCTTTTAAAAATGAAGAAAAGCATTTCACGTGTAGTTTTTCACTTGTTACCTTTCGATCTGGTATTGTCGTGTAGTAGTACTTGTACAATGACAACTTTGCGTCTTTGCCACTTTGATGGGTTCACCCAAATGGTTTGATTGGAACTAGACCACCTCATACTCCGTGTTAACACTCGACTCTTCAAAACATTACTTCTAATCATACCAATGGTTCAACAATGTTTTGCCAAAATATTTTTTATATTACAGATTAGACTCATAAACCTTTAACGAGTAAGATCGTGAAAGTAAGGATGTTTTTACTTGGATCGTAATTTACTGGTCTGGTCTGATTGAGTCTGTTTAAGTCGAGTTTGATCTGGTAAACGTCTGATCTCTGTGTATTTCATAACTATGGAAGTCACGTCTGGTCTAGTCTTGTCTGCTTATGTCTGGTCTGGTCTGGTCTGTTTAAGTCTGGTCTGGTTTGGTCAGGGACTGAAAACAGTCCAAGTTAAAACATCATAAACCCTTTTTTAAGATCATGTACCTATTCCAACTTTAAAGAGAAAATTCTCTAAATGAGACTAAAACAATGAGAAAATGCAAAACTAGGACTACCATTTTTTTTGGACGTTTTTAGGATTAAAATATAGTAGTTTGACAAAATTAGTCCTTAATAGAAAACTCCAGGTTTTCGTATCGCAGACTCCAGTGATGTGGTAGTCATCCTCCAGGAACCACTTCGATACGGCAACCATCCTCATGGAACCACAGTTGTCGCCACCATCCGTCCATCCATTGCCATTACCAGTCGCCATCCTCCGATGAAGCCATCGCTATCTGGCAAGTCCTTCCTCCTCATTCTTCTTCTTCACTTCTTTCTTCTTCATGCTCTTTCTTCTCGGTTCTCTGTTTTTATTTTGTCTATTAATCTGATTACTTTCAAAATTCTAAATAAAATTTTGGATTTGGAAATTTCAGATGAAGAGTCAAATTTCTATGAACAACAAGTGAAAGAAATGAGTTTGAATTTATATATATATATATATAGATTTTGATTACTTTCAAAATATGAGAATATCATAATTATAATGCATTTGAAAAAATGTCACTTTTTGAACCTGAGAATGTCTTTTATTAGAAATAATGCCACTACTTTGACATTATATTTATAAATTTGGCAATATTATTTTTTTGGCTTGTTTGTCAAATGATGTTAGTTTTATGACATAAAACATATAAACATGTCATTTTATAGGATAATTACATAACTTGCTACGAAAAAATGTCACAACTATCAATGTGAAAATACATTTATTTTCATCTAAATTTTTTATATTTTTACAGTAGAAAATGTCATCTTTTTATAGGAAAATGTCATTATTATGTCAAACTGAGATTGCTATCTTTATTAACATACTGCCATAAAAGTGACATTTTCTTCAAATAACCAATAATTTTGACATTTTAAGATTCAAAAATTGACATTTTCTGGGAATCTGCATTATGAGGTTCAAAATTGCTAAATAAATTAAAATTCAAATCCAGGTATATTTGATCACCAGAAAAAATTGAGAAAAATGAAAATACAGAGGACTCGGAGGAGGAGGAAGAGGAGGAGGAGGAGGAGAATGAATGAATCAATTACTCCGGGGATGCAATACAGGCAGCGAAGGAAGGCGGCGACAATAGGAGCAAAACCAATGAAGAGATGCTCTGGTGCGCAATTGAGCTTTGGACTTGAGCTTTGATGGACGACACAAGAATACCAGGCTTCAATGAGCAAAACCATCGAATGATAGGGGATTTAATCATATAAGGGTATAATGATAATGTTTAGTCCTATTTAGAAAATATAAAACATGAAATCCTATTTTGAAATTTTAACCATGTTTTAATCCTATTTAGGACAATTCCTTAACTTTTAAATCATATCCAAAATCGGACTATATTCCTATTTAGGATTTTTATTTATTTATTTTTATTTAAATAAGACCAGGTAAGTCTTTTAATTGGGAGATATATGTATACTTGCTCTCATTTATATTACAAATTTTACTCCTATTTTGAACCATTTCTATTAAATGAAACCATTGTAAATGTTGCAACCAAAAGACATTAGCTGATATTTCTGTTGCATACGATTTTACAGATTGGATTTGTGTTCCTAGAAGTATTAAATCCCACACCGGAAATGTTTGAGTTAACGAAGTGCTATATTAAGACTTGAGTTACTCCTCCTATTAGGTTGACCTTTTAGGATAGAACTCCCGATCTTAACATGGTATCAGAGCCAAATCGATCCATGGTGTGGATCCCCTTATGAAAAATGATTGACACGATTATAAAAAATGACAATGACGAATTGACGGAAAAAAATGAACGACGACACGATCCAGACGAAGAGTTTGGTCGTGAGGAGGGGTGTTAAATTCCACACCGGAAATATTTGAGTTAACGACGTGCTATATTAAGACATGAGTTACTCCTCCTATTAGTTTGACCTTTTAAAATGGAACCCCAGATCTTAACAAAAAGTCATGTTCGTATTGCAAATCATGGTTTAATTTCCAATGAAATTATACTTCTAATAATTCTAATTAGGGAAAAAAGTACATAAAACTACAAATGATTGATGGCATTTTTCACATAAAAAGTAGGTCATGTGCTTTGATTCATTATCACTAGCAGGGTTCGACACCTAAACCGTTCGAACGAAAAAGGATGAATAGCAACTCCAATTTTCAAAAGTGTTCTTAAAAATTAAAAGAATAATATTGGGATGTGTGCATCGCCAAGGCGATCTGTAAACCATCTTTCTTTTTAAATTTTTTTAGCTTCTATTAGATTTTTTTTGAAAAAAATCAATAATATCACTTTTTGATGGACTTTCCGACGACAATGGTGGCTGGAAACAAAAAAAAGAAGATAGCATGGAGGTTGCCTTTATGAGGCACATTCATAGTATTTTCTTTTACTTTTCGAAATCGAAGTTGTTGTTCATCGTCTTTCTCCGGCTATTTGTGATAGCGTTAAGCGTCGGACCCTCAATCAATAACGAAATCAAAACAATAACCTATTTTGATAATATATATATATATATATATATATATATATATATATATATATATATATATATATATATATATATATATATATAGGGGTTCTTCCCTTAATATTATTAAATTTAAGCTCATTTCCAAAAAAGTGACCACGTTTATATTCGGAGAAAAATGTGACTAAAGCACAGATACATTTCCGCAGTGACGTCTCTACCATCGCAGGCCAAAGTGACACCTACGCAGTGACATCTTCATCGCCATCGCCCATCAACCGTGTCACTGCCGCCGGTCGCCACCACTGCCGGCCACAGTGACACCACCAAAGTGACGCCCATGTTTTAGTGACGCCGCCCACCGAAGTTACTCCGGCCATCACAACCTCATGATCAGTGTCCTTCCCCAGCCTCCAACTCCCCTCCCAAACCCACCATCTACTATTTCGGCTCATTTTTTCGGCGCCCCGCCGAGCAGTACATCTGTCCTGCTACCGAGCCGCCTCTGCCGCCGCTTCCAATCCCCAGCCACTGCCGCTTACCGTCCACCACCGCCGCCCCTATCCCTTCGACAATCTACACCCCTGTCCCGTCCACAGTTTACAACCCATGCTCCGTCCCAACTCCCAACCTGTCACTGCACACCATTACACGTCAGATCTCTACCCAGACCCCACTCCCGCCGCTAGCCCTATGCATCATATCCCCACCCAGCCCCTAGCCCCAATCCTCGCCCCTAACCATATGCAGAAGATCCCCACCCAATCCCTAGCCCCCACTCCGCTCCAATAGTCGTACGCATCAGATCCAATGGAGACACGACCACTAAGGATGACAGAGAAGGTGGTCAATTTCAGTTGCAACCGACAGAGAAGGTGAATGACGGAGGTTGATTTGGCGAAGAAGAAATGAGAAGGAGAAATTGCGGCAGGGCAATGGTAGCGGCGGAAGAACAACAACGCCAGCAAAAGAACGGAAACGGTGAAGAAGAAATTAGTTGTCTACTGGTGGAAGAATGGTAGAGGAAGAAGAAGATGGGAACGGACATAGTGAAGCGGTAGAAGATGCATAGATGACGCGAAATGTCGAAGAAGAGAGAGACGCGGATCAGTGGATGGTTTTAGTTAAGTCACTTTTTAGTCCATGTTAAAATTAGTCATATTTTTGCCCATCCAAACTCTAGAAGTAATAATTTTTCCATTCTTTTAAAAATATAACACATACCCCAATATGAAAACACGTCTAACTAAAACTCCAAAAGTTCCTTTTTATACCTTTCTCTACGTTGTAATGGCTAGAAGCCTAGAACTTCTTTTTTAACATTTCATTCAGATTGATTTTCTTTTGCACAAAACATTATGCACGAAGAATCTCACATATAGCTCAGCACTTCGCTTTTTAATGTCCAACATGCATGTGATTTCAGATTAATATTCAATTTTTATTCTTTATTCCATTATATATATCAGTTAAATCACTAGTTGAGTTATTTGCAATGAACTGATATTAGGTCTATTTCATTTTATGAGCTCGTTTGATGACAGTGTTTTTCGACTCATTAGTTAACTATTTCATCAAATACGCAATGTTTATTTTCGCGTGCTAAATCGTGTAATACTCGTAATTAAAATTAGTAAGATTTGAATTACTTTTATTGATAAATTGGCTGAAATTACTGTAGTTAATTATTTTTCATATAATTTTTTCTTTATTTTATAAATAAAATATACTACAGTATTGAAAATATAAGTTTTTAATCAATTGATAAAATCAATCAATTCAGCCACTTCAGCCAGAACTTCATAGATTTATGCAGAAACAGTCGATTCAACCAAATTTAATGTTACCAAACAAACACCATATATTCGAAGACGATTTCAAAAATAGTTAGTATGCTTTCCGTAGATCAAGATCAACTTTGGATGTTTTTAGACTTATTTCAATTTTAGATCATACTAGACTTAAACAAATCATATCAGACTTAAATATATCAAACCAGACTTTTTACAAATCAGAACAGTCATTGACAGTTATAAAATATATACAGACACCAATCACCTCTTAAATCAAATCAAACCAATTTAGACCAAATTAGACTTAAACATACCAGAGCAGATCAAATTTGAAAATATCAAAATCCATTTAAAAACATCCTTACATTCTCTAAATTTGACCATTGGCATTCTTGGAAATTTGGAAGGTCGTGAATTTGCATCGTATTCTCCATTAATTTCATTAATATATGAATAGCTGATTTGCATTTTTTTATTGTAATTAATAACTAATTTTTTATTTTTTGTTGAAAATGTGAGATTTGATGGATTGGAAAAGTTTTTAATTTAAGTAAGGACTCATTATATCTTTTTACACTTTTTTAACCGATCAATGATTAATTAAAATTATGATTAATTGATATTCAATGAATGATTCAATATTATTCCCCAAAAGGTTGAATCTATAATCCAAGGGCCCCTCACGCCCCAACTCGACACGGAGTTTGGCAGATCGTAAGTCACGATGACTCAATAAACCCAATTATTGTAGACCTCATATCCGTTCGCATTAGAGATTCAGCACAACACATAGGCGCTGTATTTTCTACACGATCGTTGTAGATTTTATGTGAATCATTCCTCCAATTTTTCCACCACTTGAAACAGTGAACTACCCGTGTTGTGCGGGCAAATGAATCAATATTATGATACCAAGGAATGATATTAAAATTTTAGTAATCAAAATTGTCGATTTTCACAATATCAAGACTTTTAGGTGATTTCATATTAAAGCAATGCCAACGTAAATGCCAAATAAATTCATTTTTACCACTTGGGAGTTGGGTTATTTCAACATTTACCAAACCAATACTTATTTTGTCAACTGTAATGAATGTGTATTTTTTCCTGGTGCTTATAAATAAATAATTCACTTGATGATATTTTAAATTTCAGCAAGTTTTATCTTAACAATTACTTCGTATATGTTTCGATTGCCAAATTTGTAATAAATAACTTGAATAAATGTTTAGCAAAGTACTAAAACATACTCCTGGTATGTACTATGTAACATCATATTATGCACTATCCTCCATATAATCTGAAGTTCCGAACTTGTGCCTAAGGTTATCCATCTCTCATCCTCCCAAATTTCAGCCAACACACTGAGAGATGACCTGCAACGCCTATTAATACAGTTCAGATATGTTTCTGAGAGCAACCCAGGGAAGTAGAAAGGCCATCAAATTCATAAAATACCAAGAGAAGTTGAATTTTATAATAGTTGAGATGTCCAAAATATAAATATCACTACCAAAAAAAGTGCGTTTTTGGCACGGCAAATTGGCACGTCAGGCATGCCTGCCATGTTTGGCACAGCAATAGGCATAACTTAGTCCAAAAAATCGTGGGCAGAGTAGCTGACTCCACATTTGGCACGGGAGAGCCATGCCAATGTCGCAATGTCTGTGCCAAATTCCGTCCGAAATAAACGGCTATGAAACCTGGCACCGTTGCCGTTATAGCCTTGGCACGGCCTTGGCGATGCCAAAGCATGCTCCCCAACTTTTTGTGCCAAAATGTTACCGTTGTCATGGGCGTGCCAAATGCCGTGCCTAAGGCCGTGCCTAAGGCCGTGCCAAAAAGTTACCGTTGCCATAGGCATGCCAATTATGTAGCCATTGGGAGGTAGGTTAGCTCTGTGCCAAGGGGTCCTTGCAACATTATTTATAAATACCTATCCATTTTCAGTTTTGTACTCGCTCAATTTTTCTTCATAGTTAACAATATAGAATGATGAATATGGATTTGTTTTCTATCACTTGCAATGGAGCCAAAGACTTCACTATTTTTTGGTTTGAGAATATGATGGAATAAAGCAAAATGACTCACTAAACTGTCTAGCGGTGGACGCGGTCCGGTCCGGTTCGGTCCAATATTTTACCGAACCCGTACCCGGACCGTTACTATTGAAACGGTTCGGTTCGGTTTGGTTCGATCTTAGACCTAAACTCGTTCGGTACGGTTCCATTTTCAAACGGTCCGGTACCATTCCGGCATGTCATACCAATACCAAACAATGCCACTTTTTCGACAAATTAAACTTAGTCATCATCCAAAAATCCACACAATTATCAATTTTCATATTACATAGATAATGAATTTCATATAAACTACAATATTACAAAATGTAATACTCCCTCCGTCCCATATTTATCTTCATAGTTACTATTCACATGGTCAACTCAAATTACTCTTAATTCTTTACTTTATATATCAAATTTTTATCAAACTTAAATTTTCTTGATCAGACTTTGTAGCAGATTTAATGTAGTTTCTGAATATGTAAATTTAATTTACTAAAAATAATCTGAGTGTGAACAGGGATCAAGTTGCTTTATCGTCAGTCAAGCATCGTAAACCGAACTACGAAGATAAATATGGGACGGAGGGAGTAACTAATAACAATTATGGATGTAATAGATTATAATCCATTACATCCAAAATCACTATTATGGATGTCATAGATTAAAATCACTAATGGATGTAATAGTGCTCCTGCAGGCAGCTTGCACTGAACTACCAATTAGCAAAGTGCAAATGAGTAATCAAAGTAATGATAATATGATATACATGTATACGGAGTATATGATTATAAAATTATAATATCCTCCGCTGTGTTTTAATCGCAACATGTTGAATTTTACACTATTCACATGCTCTACTTTGATTACATTTTACGCTATTATTTTATGAAAATTATTTTTTCAAAAAAATATTATTCAATTCATCTCATTGCAAATTTTCAAAATCTGATTTTTAATAGTTTTGTACTAATAGAATTAAGATATAATTACGGTCAAAGACGTGAGTTGGTAAATTTGAAGTGTTGACCGTTACAACTAAAAAAGAACGGAGGGAGTATAAATTAATGAAATTATAATTCGGTCCGGTTCGGTCCAGTATCGGTTCTCATTTTATGAGAACCGGTCATGGCATGATTTGGAACCGGTAGAGTTCGGTTCGGGACAAAATTTTTTAGAACCGTTTGGAACCCCGTTTTCCGGTCCGGTGCCATACCGGTCCGGTTCGGTACCATGCCGGTTCGGTAATTTTGCCCACCCCTAAAACTGTCTGCGCTTCTTTGTTAATGAAGTAGCAGTCAATCTATCCTATTTTCGACGCGATTTTCACTTTGGGTCATACGGAAACAGTCTCACTGTACTTTAGTACATGGGTAAAGCTCCGTACATCCGAGCTCCCCTTACCCCACCGTAAGTGGGAGCCTTTGCGGCACTGGGGTAATGATGATGATGAACACGGACTTGCAAAGAGATGTTGCTGATGCTACATGTGGATGTTGAAGAGAACGTTGTGCATTGGATTTTCTGAAAGAATTTATATATTGTGTCCGTTTTTAGGTATGTTTTTCTTATTATGCTTTTTTAACTTAATTAAGCTCTAATTCTTTAGTTAGATTGTTTTTTAATTATCTTTTAATATTGTATAGTAGCATGCATTAAATTAATTCACACACTAATTTTAAAAAGTAGTAGTTAAAAATAGTGATGTTATTATTATGTGTGATATTTTCATTATATTATAATGTGTACACCTAATTAGTATCAATGATGTGTTCATTATATCGTTCATGCACAATGTATAGACAAATAAGAGGTTGGATGTACAATAGATATGTTGAGAATGGTAGAGGGTTAACCAAAGAGTTTACTGATGGCGTTGATGAGTTTATTAATTTTGGCTGTGTCGTGTCCGTGCCAGACGTCGTGCCTACATTTGGCACGACATATATAAAGCGTGCCATTTGATTTGGAAGGCCGCAGGTGGCACAGATTCGGTGTTTGTGCCAATGCCGTGCAAAAACCTGTAGGCAGGACAAAAAACTGAAAGCTGCCGTGCCAAAAGCCGTGCCAATTTGGCACTTTTCTGGTAGTGTATGGCTTAAATATGTTTCTAAGTCCTTCCAAAGAATGTTTAATTTTAGATTATGTAAACAAAAAACATAAGTTGGGATCTACAACAAAATATGATATATTTGGAGGAACTAAAAACATATTCACGCGACCAATAAATAGTTACAGAGGGAGAGAAGAATTGAACTTTCCTGGGTTATTAAAGGCTTGGCATTCTCTTCCCATCCTGAATCCCATTTTGCACAGCATCTTGTTTCTAGTACCCCCTTCCTCAACGATTTCAACAAGTTGCATTCCTCTGGGAAGCCCTTGAATAGCATCTGGGAAACAACACAGAATCACCATTTAATTACTTCAACAATGTTTCATGTAATATCAGAGATGGAGTTGAGTTGGTACACAGACCGTCCGGAATGATATCAAGTAGCTTGTCAATTATCCAAAAAACAATCATCTTGGAGTAAGTATAAGTAACTTTTCTCATTACAGAGGAACCGTCTGAATATATCACCGCTTCCTCTGATTAGTCCATTTGTCACATTCTAGCAGAACTTTAATATCTCTAACTATAAGGATGGTTTGGTTTTAAAGCTTTCCAAAATCGACATATCTCAAAATTGACAAGGCTACGTTTTGCAATACAGGCTTATAACCTATCTGGTAGCTCACAGTTAGTTGTTAAGATAACTACTAGTGTAAAACTTTTGCTTATAATTTATACTAGTTGTTTCGTAACGCTTTTGCTTTTAAATAAAAAAGAGGAACTATAAACAAAGAGAATTAACTTATTTGAGAAACTATTCCAAGAAGCTTACTAAATAAAGCTCACGCGTATTAAACAAGTTCACCAACAAAATAAAGCTACAAAGTTTGAGAAGTTTCCTAAGAAAAACAACTCCCTCTGCCCCAAAATTATCTTTTCACTATCTTTGTTGAAATGTCACACTTCCTTAACATTTCTTTTTAGGGAATTATTTGTGTGGTTGATATTGTTTCTCGTCTTTTTACATCAACCAAAACCTACTTAAATAAGCCGGATATAGCGGGATATCCCCCTTATAAGTGTGCCAAGTCAACTGGGCACGCTAATTAATTACTTACTTTTGCTGCGGAATATATAATTAAATATCCCTTAATAAATTTTGGTTCTGTCTGATTTGAACAGATTTTAAACTTCAATGAACCGTCTTTAAACCGATTCATGTTCGGGTCCCAACTTTCGGGTCCCGTTCATGTCGGTTCGGTTTCGGTTTGGTTTTTCTATTGCTCGGTTCGGTTTTCTGTTTTTCGGTTTAAAATGCCAGCTCTAATTATAAGGTAGCTCACTGCGTTCAAATATAGCATAAACTCATAATAATTGACTAGTGATATACCCTCCTGGACATATAGCCAAGAGTCCAAGATGCTACAACAAACAATCATCCAAACACAAATGAAAAACTCACCATAAGTTCATCTGCTAGTTCAGATGATGACGAGAAAAGCAACCCATTCTGCTCCACTTTTACAAGCTCCATAATACTGTTCAAAGTTGTAACTTGTAGGTAAACATTTACAAGGATCAAATCCAAGTGCAAGATAAGATTTAAGTGTTTTTAAATGGGGGGAGGACCATAGCTTCGTACCAAGAGTAGGAAACTGCACATACTGGCAATCCACACCCAAACATATCCACAACCTAAATTTGAACATCGGATGATGAGACCATTTCATGCATAAACAACATTGCAGTTAGATATGAATTCGGGGGGGGACTAAAACACCTTCATCGGAAGATCCAAACCCGAAGAAGAAGTGTGAAGGCAAACACCAAGATCAGCTGATCCTGTCCACCATCCAATGTAAGATCAAGGATGTAGATATAAATGATATTATTATTATTATTATTATTATTATTGATGTTGTTGTTAGAGGTTTTTCCTAAAATATTACTAATGAAAAAAATCTATGGGCAAAAAAATGACTATAAGTTACTATAGGTAACTTTTATAGTCACTATGATGTCAAATATTAAAACTTGAACACAATTATAGTCACTAAAAGTTATTAGGTCACGTTTTTGTCCACTATTTTTATTTTGGTTATATATTTGGAATTATTTCTTCTTCTAATTATTATAATTGTTGTTGTTATTGTTATTATTATTATTATTGTTGTTGTTGTTGTTGTTACCATCATCATCATCATCATCACAAAGCTAATAAAATATACGAAGTAAATACCAAGAAGAAATGGGTACTCCTCTGCTGCAAGCCACATTGTACGGAATGCCACACGCTTGAGATTCAGTTTTCTGATCTTTTGCTCATATTTTTCCTTTTCAGGTCCTTTTCCTTCACTCATATAAAACATAACAAACTTTGTACGGTTGCAAACTTTTAAAAAGAAGAATTAAAAAAAATCTTCACACACAAGCAGTGGTTACCGGTAATTATGAATAACAACCTTGGGAACAAAAATTGTTTCCCGTGCATAATTTCATGCCAAACAAGCTCCTTCTCATGCGAGTCATCCTCATTCAAAATTGCAGCAACTCGTCTATCATACATGACAGCTGCTTCTAAGAGGATTTCAAAATCCTCATCTGGGGTCCTGAAAACAGGCATATCTATAACTAGAATCTGAATACTCTCATCATTAACAAGTAAACACATGCTAACAGAAATTGAAAAACAGTATTTTTGAAAAGAACTAACCAGCTTGTACTGCTGACAATGACAGCTGGTCTGTTTTGCTTCAAGTATATATCCTTTCCGGTCTGAGTTGTAAAAGGAGTTATATCTGAGTCAACATTGTCTGTCCTCAATATTCCAGCAGATACGCAATCTTCAGTACAAAAACATATCTAAATGTGATATTACAATATTACCAGACCGAGTATGGAAATAAAATACATTACCATTGCTCAGACAATCTTGGCGGCCATATGGCTCTCTTAGGCTTTTATTAATCCTACAAAACAACTTCAGCCCACACAAGAGTTAAGGTTTCAAGCCAAAGCATTTATTGAAGGCCATTTTCACATGTAAAAGTCGAGTCACCTTATGTTTCTCCTCAAGGGATGCAGGTCGAAAGAATTCAGGAGACTGATCATACAGAACAGTGGCACTAAGTTTTTTGAAAAGAGTATTAACACCATATACCCAGTGGATATGAATAACTGTAATGATGTTAAGAAAATTTCGATATTCTGCCCCTACTTTATACTCCAGTTTTGAGCCAATTCATGTTGCATTGCCTTTGTAACACACAATGACCCGTTTGCCATCCTCCCATAGTGCTTTTCAATCCTACACATACGTGAATAGAATTATGATAGATAAATATACGTGAAAGGTTTGATGAACTATAGATGTGAAAGAAAACTATCTACCAATTATAAAGTGTGACAAATCGGCTGTTTCTGCCAAGAGACAATGCAAGGAGGGTGTATCCAAAATTATGCCAATCTATTACGAAGGCAGAACGCCTAAACCAGCTTGCCCATTTTACAACAACCAATGTAGGAACAGATGGAGGATTCTGTAAAAGTGTAAAAATTAAGATGAAACTACATACTATATCATAGTATTGAAGGTTTAATGCACCAAACCCCGTCATGATATAGAAATTCAATGCATTAGCCCCCTGTTGTTTAAAAAATGTGCCAAACCCCCATGTGTTTTAATTATTCATGCGCAAAACTCCTTTTGTGAATTAATTTAACAATTTTAAAATCATTTTTCTTAATATAATGATTGAGTCATCATCATTTACCCCAGTGCCGCAAAGGCTCCCACCTACGATGGGGTAAGGGGGGTCGGATGTACGCAGTCTTACCCCTGTCCTAAAGCAAAGAGAGACTGTTTCCGGATGACCCATAGTGAAAATCGCGTCCAATATATTATGATTGAATATACAAGTAAATTTTTCAAAGTCTCTAAATTAAACAAAAATGTTAATCATTTTTCTTTAGTTTGACAGTTAAATTTAATCATAGAAGGGGTTCTGCGCAAAATTAATAATAACACAAGGGGGTTTGATGCATTTTCACAAGGGCTAATGCACCGAATTTATATATCATGAGGGGGTTTGGTGCATTAAACCCTAGTATTAAAACGCTAAGTAATATAATTACATAACTTAAAATATATAAAAAAAGAGATGTCTTGCTATAGTAATATATGATAGAAATGAAAAAATCCAATATCTTTGTTTTAGATGTAAAAAAACTTATTTGGCTGCTGATAGGCTGTACTGCTGTAGTAGGTAAAAGCCTCACAACTCACCTGCACTATGAATACATCAGGAGCAGGAATTTTGACACAGAGATACCACAAAAGCATCACAAACTGAACCAATGGCTTGAGCATGAGAATAAAAGGACGTAGCATCTTGGATAATGTTTGAGGGGTTGATGGCCACTGTGTCTATATGATGCCAAAAAAGGTCCATAAGGAAAAATACAACACACTAGTGTGTTTTAATCATCTAAAATTCATGTGGAGTATTCTAAAAAGGAAGTCGGGCAACAATACCATTCTATGAATGTGAATAGAGGGATGCTCTAAAACAGCAGAATGGGGGTCAGAACCTGCTCAAAATGGTGATATCATGGATTAGAAGCAGGTGAATCAAAATGACCTGAGAATTGTTTCCCGATTTGATTCACGTGGTACAAGAGGATGAGAATGAAATGGAAACCTATTTTTTCTAAGACAAATCTTCTTACTCCTAAAAGACCTTATTTAAAGATAGGCCTCATTCAGTCTCAAAGAAGTACACTTGTTTTGTGCTTAAAATATTACTCCCTCCATCCCATTTAAATGTTCTCATCCACTACTCTCCGGTCAACGTGAATTGTTCTCAATCTTTTACTTTATATATCCAACTTTTATCAAATTTAACTTTTATTGATCAGGTATTATAAAACTTTTGATGTAGTTTCTGAATATGTAAATTTTATTTACTAAAAATAATCTTATTAATAACAGGGATCAATTAATTTTATGTTCAGTTATTTACCAAATCCATCGTGAACCGCGTGGGAACCTTTAAGTGGGACGGAGGGAGTACTTTTTCAATCATAGAGATGAAGAATAGTTAATTCTTCTTCTTTTAGAAGCGATTGAGTCATTTTCCAAAAAAACACAATGATGGTGCTATTTACAACACTATGTTACTTATCAGTCCAACTAATGGATTTTACCAATATATCTGTTAATAAAATGCAATATTTCAAGATTGATCTGTTTTCCCAAACCTCATAGAATCATTTCCCATCAGATAATCAGAAACTATTTCACATAGCATGCTGATCAAATGATTTTAAAAAAAACTAAAATGTAGTTGAGGCACACACTCCTTTTGATAAAAGATTCTAAGATTCTGAAACCCCATTGAAGTACTACTTCTTAATGGTTCCCTTAAATGTGTGTGGGTGTGCATTCTGTAAGTCTTAGAATTCGTTACAAATTACAAACCTCCATATGCAACAATATCCACCTCTAGATGAGCCTGAAAGAAAACACAAAAATTGCAGGGATTGTAGTACTTAAAAGGCCAAAGCTTTAAAGCAATCTTGGAGAGATGTTGTTTATATAGAGCCAAGCATACCCCCCACCCCTTACCCCAATTACTGATCTTACATGAGATTACATGATCTGCCCAGTACTCAAAGTTCAAAATAAAACTGCTCAGCAATTTTACTTGTAATCTGCTTATCTTCTCATCAGTTAAATGTTCTTTTCATCCCTAGTTGAAAAATCTAAGGGCACCTACACCCATATGCATCTCACCGCTGGAACAAATGCTCATTGCGAACAGGTCATATGATTCCACTTTCTTTAGATGAATTCGAAATTTGTATGCAGTATACGAACCTGGCGAGCTAGAGAAAGAGCGTGATATTGCATTCGGGGACTGCGGCCGATATCCCCAAGAACTACTACTGCCGCCCTACCTCTCCGCATCATCTTCGGTTGATCCATGGCTTCAGGACAGTAACAGCAGAAAGTGGATCACTTGCTACCGTGGTTCGATATTTGAGACTTGTGGAATCTCCACTCTAGGAGCCCCATCCTACAGGACAGAATGGTTGGGTATTTAATGGTTTACACCCCTTGAAGAGATCAAATTTTCTCATTTTCTTTTTGAAAGTTTTGTGTCTGACCTTTTAACTTTTTATTAGTCAAGTATAACCATATATTTATACTTTCTTCTTATTTCTTAAACTCTTATCAAGTCAATAGGGGAACTATTTTATGGGATGGATGAAGTAATAGATAATAAAAACTTATGTTAACGGTGGTAATATCGATTCAGAACCCGTTTGGTAACACTAAAAATGGCTGAATTGGCTGATTCAGCTGAAATTTATGAACTTCTGACTGAAGTGGCTGTATTGGCTGATTCTGCTGATTTATGAAAATTATATTTAAAATATTTGTTATTAAAAAAGTAAATAAAAAATTATATGAAAAATAGCTAAAATGATCTTCTATAGTAACTTCAGCCAAAACAGTCAAAAAAGTAACTCAAGCCTTACTTTTTCTGCTTATTACAAACTTCAGCACGCAAAATCAAAATTGTGTGTTTGGTGAAAAGGCTTGCTGATAAGCCTGATAAGCCGAGAAAATGAGTCACCAAACGGGCTCTCAGTAGTCGAGTTTAACTAATGAAATAAGTTGATGAGTTGTGAAAAAATGTTTGATAATTTAGTTGTTTGACAATAACAATTAGTAAAAAACGTCATATTTCAAAATGATTCCAAAACTCTGCTATTTTCAGTGTTTCCATTTCCGTTCCAAAACTCTAAAGCCCAACAACGATAAACAAAATAACGTTTTTACTTATTGAAAATCCTAAATGGGTGAAATCACTATTTTTTTTACTGAAATACCATTATCCAAACACGGTGTTTGAAACACCCCATTTTTAATTTGTCTCATTTCAAAAGTTTTATTATTTGTCTACCTTTTTATAAATTTTTCCTATAAAATACTTTTATACCTTCATTCTTATCATTTGTATTTTGTATCCTCATTCTTATTATCTGTATTTTTCTTTTACAGTTTACAAAATATTTTCATTTTTTACCTTTTAATTATTTTCGTGTTCTTAATCTGTTTTTCATGTTTTACCTTTTAATTATTTTCGTGTTCTTAATCTGTTCTTTTTTCATTTCCCGTAGACAAACTATATTAACACTACTATTTTCTTCTTAATTATTGTGAAATACTACCTCCGTCCCTCTTATATTGGGTCGGAAGAGAGTGGCACGATTATTAATAAAAGTGGGGTTGTGTGGTTGATATTAATTGATAAAGTAAGAATAAAGTAAGAATGATTTAGAACCACACAAACTTTACCAAATATGGTATGGGACAATTTTAGTGGGACTTCCTGAAAAAGTAAAACAGGACAATATAAGAGGGACGGAGAGAGTACCTATGACATTTAAAAGGGCACAAAGGAATTATTATTTTACTTTCCTTTTTCTTATATTACCTCCGTCCCTAAATGTTTGTCTTACTTTCCCAAAACGGATGTCCCAAAATGTTTGTCCTATTTAAAAGTGTCAAACAGTGTCGCTACAGTGTCAAACAGTGTCGCTACAGTGTAAAGTCAAATTCATTTCCTTAAAACTTGTGAAGTCAAACTAGGACAAACAATGAGGGACGGATGGAGTATTATATTTATACTTTGTACATCATAGAAAATGAGAAAATTGTGATGCAAATGGAAATGATAGTATCAAAATGCAATACTTAGGAAATGCTTAAAGAAATAATGAAAACATTTTTGTAACACAAACTTGATTAGACAACAGATAAAAGTAACATTATTGCCATACATACATTATTATTGCCATACATACATTATTCAGCCACTCAAGCAAATTGAGCATAATATACTATACATCTATAATGAGTAGTGTTTACTGTTTAGGCAATGCCCATCTTTCCTTCAACATTAGGGCAAACTCATAGACCTTGTGAGGGTCAGGAAGAGACTTGGACACACTCTCCCTCTCCATGCACCTCTTAGCCCAACCAATCAGTTTAGGGCACTCAGCTTCTATGCTGAAATGGCCAAAAGTCTCATACACATAAAACCAGCTGTAGAATCCAATGAGGGAAACATCCACAAACCCAAACTTCTCACCCCCAAAGTATGGCTTCTCCCCCAGTTCTCCTTCCAGCACCTTGAGGACCTCTATAAACTTCTTCTTTGCTGCCTCTTGCTCTTCTCCCTTTGAAGTCCATGATTTCATACCAGGATCATGAACCTGCAGTGGTGCAACAAGTTGATTGTAGTATGCTTAATACAATCTGTGTATTCGTAGAACTGATCATCTGGGTGTTTAAGTTCGTTTTGATTCGTTTAAATTTGATATCGTCTAAACTAGTCTGATCTAGTCTGATTTGATCTGAACTCATTAGTGATTGAAATATATACATCTAACACTCAGAAGGTTTTTCATCATTTTTCATAAATTTAACCTATTCAATTTGCTGGGTCCTGCACCACACCAAAATTTGCAAAAACTCTGATTGCATGGAAAATTTTATCTAAAAAAAAACAATGTAAAAATTTGTCTCAAAAAAATCTTAATTATTATTTCGTCAGCTCAATTTATGGTTCTGGCTACGTGGCCTATGACATTTGTCTCTCCATCACAACCTGCTTAATTAGCTTCTAAGATAGTACTAGTTTTTTGTTAACATAAAACTATAAAAGTTGACACAAAATACTGCTAAAGTATATATACGTAGTATTAGTAATAAAGTTAAAAAACTAATAAGCAAGGTTAGAAAATTATTCATTTCATTTTCATTTACCCCAATGCCGCAAAGGCTCCCACCTACGGTGGGATAAGGGGGGTCGGATGTACGCAGTCTTACCCATGTACTAAAGCAAAGAGAGACTGTTTCCGGATGACCCATAGTGAAAATCTCGTCCAAAATTGCATGGACTGACTGATGCTTCATAACAAAGAAGCGAAGACAGTTTAGTTAGTCATTTTGCTTTATTCCATCATAATCTCACGCCAAAAAATAATGAATCTTTGATTCCGTTGCAAATGATGGAAAACCAAGGTTAGAAAATTATTAAAAGTATAAAAGTATTCACACATAAGTACATAACAAATAAATTATACATCACAGAACCTAGAGCACAGAAACCTAGAAATAGAAGTTGAACTTCCAAGAGGAAAAATAAAAAAGAACTAGAAAATAGATATGTATAATATATATAGAATTTTGGGCCCCTAATTATTACAAATTTTTTGAGGCCCTAAGGCCCAAGCCTCTCCATCAAGGCTCTGAGTATTAGAGAATATCAATCAAAGTGGTAATATATACACATAGTTCAAGAGTTTACTTGCATGCAAGTTCTAACTATAGCATTTTTTACTTAACTGCTTCAAAAGAGTTAACATTATGTAGTATATTTTCTGCAATACAATTCATATGTTATCAATATTTATATATCCGCGCAATTTAGATAAATCAGTATAGTTTCTATAGGTAAAATTATACTCCCTCCATATCAAAATTAATACTCCTTACGAGTAGTTGTTTCAGTTTTCGTTTTCGGTTTGTATCATATTAATTGTCCCATTTCTGGTTTCAGAACGAAATCTACTCTAAAAGCAGCTACAGTGTTGTTACAATGCCGAAAAACTCTTGCAAAGTACTTTTATATAATCATCTTTAATTACAGACACAGGTAGCTCAGTTGTTGGTCGAGTGATGGGAAAATTGGATCGAGTTACCAAGTTTTGAAACCCGCAGCAAAGCGTTGGGAGTTACAGAACCTGAAATAAGACTGGAAGTGAATAAGACCTACGGCCTCTTTGCTACTTAATGACTGTGATTAACTCCCCACACTCTTATCGATTCCGGGTGGGACTCCTGGGGTGGGAGATTACACCTTTTTGGACCAAATATAATCCATCTTTAACTACGTGAAAAAACAAATTGAAAAGTTTTACTGCAAATCATATGCTATACCTTCTTGTCAACGTAGTCCGCCCAGAACTTAGCCTGGGATTTCTGATATGGATCAGATGGGAGCAGAGGGGCTTTGTCCTTCCAAACTTCATCAATATACTCCACTGCGATGGTGGACTCGCAGACCGGCTTGCCGTTGTGGATGAGAACCGGGATCTTCTTGTGAACCGGGTTCGTCTTCAGAAGCAGGTCGCTCTTGTTCATGAGGTCCTCTTCTCTGTACTCATACTTAATCTCCTTCTCGGCCAGAGCAATCCTTACCCTCATCCCGTACATGCTCGGCCAGAAGTCCAACAAAATCACTTCTTCTTGAGCCATTTCACTCACTCTACAATCAAAAACTTGGAAGCAAGTTAAGGGAGGGTGAACTAAGAAGAGAATGATTTGTATGTTGGCAGGATAAGATGGCAGAGTGTTGTTTGGCTTGGCAGATTATTAAATGGAAAATTCACCGTATGTTTCAGGGCATTGATTTGATTGGGCATGGATTCGGCGGATTAGGGAGTACTTGGTAGAAAAATTGTTGAGTTGTGCCGGACGGACACCAAATACTTTTCAAAATTCTTTTCTACACAAAACTAGTTATCAAATAGTGGCTTGTGTATACAAAATATCAAAATATGTGTTTGTGTACAAATTTTATGTAAACCTAGAATTACCCTACTTCATAAGTATACAAAAACTTACAAACAAGCACAAATAGAATTAAAACTCCACCTGTTAGAAGCGAATAAGTTTTATTTTAGGAAAAAATAATTAAAATTTTATATGTACATTTTGTCTATATTTTTGTCTATGTTTGTACTACGTAGTAACTTTTCCCAAATTGAAACTTTACTAAAATATTTTGACATTATAAGATCATAATTGAGGATATAAAATAGAGATAATGATCCAATTGAACATTGTGATCATATATGACACTAAAGTTTTAAATGGATCAAACTGAACATTATGAGTACAAGTGAATATCATATTGGACACTAAAGTTTCAAAGATTTTTTACATTTTGTAAATAAAAACAATTAGAATTCATTTTCCTTTTCTTTGTGTACCTAATAACTAAAATAACTTAATTGGTGTATTTAGATTTAAAATATATTATTAGAGGTTCCAATTTAAAAAAT